CAGTCGTAAAAGAGTGCCACCGTGGAAGGGACTGGGGCCTTCTCACGTAACAGTCCCTTAATTAGCATTGGATATAGTGCAGTCAACCTCCGTTACGGAGACAGCCCACACTTCCATAAAAAGGATCCTTTCCACGCTTGACTGATCGGCACTCGGTGGATGATGTGGTCAGCATCATGCTGGTCACCTTTACTTCCCGATACTTTTACCTGGTACCTATTTAAGTTTGGGCCAACCTGGGAGCCAAGGTCATTTTTCAAACAAGTCCAGCACCGTCCGGATTTGAACTTATGACCTTCGGATCAGCAGGCAGGCGTCTGGCCGCTACACTACAGCGGCTCCCAATCCTTTTTATACTTGATGTTTAAGCTATACAGTTGACTGTTCCATGTTGCGCTCTGTGACATAACTAACAATACAGTTTTGATCTTGGTGTAGGAAACACTGAGACGTGTCCCTGCAACTGGGCACCAGAAAATGCTGAGCAGGTGCTCCAACACTGCCAACTGAGGGCTGCTAACAGAGACACAATCTAGCGTGCTCCAACACTGCCAACTGAGGGCTGCTAACAGAGACACAATCTAACGTGCTCCAACACTGCCAACTGAGGGCTGCTAACAGAGACACAATCTGACGTGCTCCAACACTACCAACAGGGGGCTGCTAACAGAGACGCAATCTGGCCTGTTCCAACCTCAATTAGTAGAAAGCTGTATGGCATACAAGAAGATATGGACTGCACAGTAGCTTTCATAAAGGCTACCTGCCTGTTGATAAAAGGACAGAAAGAAAGCAGAAGAAGGGAAGGCTGAAAATGAAGCACATAACGATGGACATAATTGTAACAGAAAGTCAAAACAACGGTCTCGGTCTGGGCACCAAAAATAGACACTATTTATGACTATAAAGACAATATGCCCCTATTTATATCCTAAATGCAGCAGCAAAGTGAATGGACCAAGTCTGAAGCAGGTCGCTACGTTTAAGTACTTGGGAACCCTTATAACAGCAGATGGAAGATGTATTACAGAAGTTCAGTGAAGAACAGTTGAAGCAATGGCAGCATTTCACAAAAGTAAGAGCGTTCTATGTAATACAACTGAGTGGCAGAGGAAGAACTCTATCATATGCGGATGACATTCTCGTGTACCGACAGGGCAGGAACATAGATGACATTGTTTCGGAACTACAATAGGAATTAGATCGCATATCATCCTGGTGCAACACCTCAGGGGCAACAACTAATCCATCAAACTCGAGAGTCACCTGGTTCTCATTAAATAATCACCTTTCCTAAACACTAATGCCGATAGTAAAACTCTGTGGCGCTGACGTGGAGAGATCTGATTCCATGAAATACCTGGGTATAACATTTGACAGATGCTTAGCATTTAAAAAACACGTAGACCACATCATAACCAAAGCCAAGAAAGGTCTCTCCGCAATACAGGTTGTGGGAGCTGCAAACTTTGAGCAATTGCTACTTGTAATATTGTATTGTGGGGGGGGGGGGGGGGGGGGGGGGGGGGGGGGGGGGGGGGGGGGGGGGGGGGGGGGGGGGGGGGGGGGGGGGGGGGGGGGGGGGGGGGGGGGGGAATTAGTTCTCTCCACCACTGAATATGCCATGGCCGTCATGACATCCAGCAACACACAGATGAACAGAATAGACAAAAACATTGAAAACGAGACAATGCGTATTATTCTTGCATGCACTAGAAACACCTCCTGTAAATCCATGCGATACCTCTTGGATTTCACCACAATGGAAAACAGAATCAAGCTATCCAAGGCTGCTGCTTTCCTCAAAGTAAAGTCAGACCATCGACACCCAATTTATGAGAATTATTAAAGCAAAAAAAAAAAAAAAGTATACTTAAACGAGGCAAATCCTGGATTGGTCGGGCTGAGGATGCTATCGAACATGTTTGCCGCCTTACTGACATACATTTGGGAACGGGGTTGATAATTATGCCTCCTTCTCCAAATATTAATATTACAGTCCATATCACACTTGATGGAAGCTAGAAAGCAGATTCCTGGCATTGTTGACACTTTAGTCAGAACACTGATTGACGAGAATATAGATAAAGGCTATAGTTTACACAGATGGTTCGGTAATTTGGGTCAAGCGAAGTGCATGGGCATTCACAGTAAGCTCAAGGAGGAAACCCAGCAAAGATATAAATGACGCCTTTGTTGTTACAACTAGTAACCTTACAATGGAAACTATGGCTGTAACAAGGGCATTGGCATAGCTTGGTACTCACAAGTTCACACATGTGTGCATTCTTAGTGACTCGATGAATATGCTTTAAAAATTCCAAGCTGGATTTATCAGGCAAGAATGGATAGCAACACTGAGCGCTTCACGAATATCTGCCCTAACCTTCATCTTTGTGCCAGGCTATGCGGATGTTTAAGGGAAGAGCGTGCAGACTATCTTGCTGACACTGCGGTTACTATGGCTGGTCCAGTACTGGACATAAGTGATGTTATCAATGCCATGCGCTGCACTTACCGTACCGAGGAGCACGCCAAGGTACATGACTGTATCCCTGTATAGACTGATGGACATGGAGTGAATGTGATCGCTGTGTGGAAGTGAACTGATGGTGAATGTGATCGCTGTGTGGAAGTGAACTGATGGTGAATGTGATCGCTGTGTGGAAGTGAACTGATGGTGAATGTGATCGCTGTGTGGAAGTGAACTGATGGTGAATGTGATCGCTGTGTGGAAGTGAACTGATGGTGAATGTGATCGCTGTGTGGAAATGAACAGATGGTGAATGTGATCGCTGTGTGGAAGTGAACTGATGGTGAATGTGATCGCTGTGTGGAAGTGAACTGATGGTGAATGTGATCGCTGTGTGGAAGTGAAACTGATGGTGAATGTGATCGCTGTGTGGAAGTGAACTGATGGTGAATGTGATCGCTGTGTGGAAGTGAACTGATGGTGAATGTGATCGCTGTGTGGAAGTGAACTGATGGTGAATGTGATCGCTGTGTGGAAGTGAACTGATGGTGAATGTGATCGCTGTGTGGAAGTGAACTGATGGTGAATGTGATCGCTGTGTGGAAATGAACAGATGGTAAATGTGATCGCTGTGTGGAAGTGAACTGATGGTGAATGTGATCGCTGTGTGAAAGTGAACTGATGGTGAATGTGATCGCTGTGTGGAAGTGAACTGATGGTGAATGTGATCGCTGTGTGGAAGTGAACTGATGGTGAATGTGATCGCTGTGTGAAAGTGAACTGATGGTGAATGTGATCGCTGTGTGGAAGTGAACTGATGGTGAATGTGATCGCTGTGTGGAAGTGAACTGATGGTGAATGTGATCGCTGTGTGGAAGTGAACAGATGTGAATGTGATCGCTGTGTGGAAGTGAACTGATGGTGAATGTGATCGCTGTGTGGAAGTGAACTGATGGTGAATGTGATCGCTGTGTGGAAGTGAACAGATGTGAATGTGATCGCTGTGTGGAAGTGAACTGATGGTGAATGTGATCGCTGTGTGGAAGTGAACTGATGGTGAATGTGATCGCTGTGTGGAAGTGAACTGATGGTGAATGTGATCGCTGTGAATAGATAATCGGCGTTCTTTTAGATTTAGGAGTACAGGATATCTTTGGGGTTGGGACTCAACTTATCATGGATTTGCGGCAAGGTCATAACTTGCGGTTGAAACTTAACGTATTAACGAAGTAAGTACATAATCCTTTTCAAGCCATTATTACTACGCGTAGATTATCCTACACCTGTATTTTTATAGACCTGTCATTATTCGATGGATGATGTGATCAAAATCACGTTGCCCGCATTTACTTCCCATAATATTTCCCGTGATCAGTCTTAGGCTGGGTCATAGAAGAACCGGTCAGTTATAAAAATCCTCCCCCATGTGCATTGGAACGATAGACCTCTGGGCAGGCGTCATACCACTGCACTATCTCGGCTTTCTACCCACAGAAGACAGCATTGACAAGGCTGCCTTCACCCAGTGTTCCATTGATCGCTCATGTGAAAACAAGAATGTCTGATATAGATCGTCCAGGGTCAAATCCTTGGCCCGCGGCTAATGATGCGACAGTACAACCTGGACGAGTGACTGACAAACTGTGGGAGGGAAACTGTTAGATAGACACCAGTCAACGCTCAGGCCGGCAGGGACACGTTTAGCTATGCACGATTAATGTGCTTGAAGACAACAGAAGACAAAATGGGCGGTGGCGATGATCCCTATCAGAAATCGATAAGAAACACTCTGATTGGTTGATGAGCGTCGTTAGAGAACTCAAATAACCAGAGGAGGGTAATTATGGTAAGATACGGGGTTTGGATTTCATCGAATTAGCTGTATTAGGCATCACTTTAAACATAAATGATCCAGCCCATTCACAACATAATTAAATGCAAACAGTTATATTATCAACTCAATCGCTTTTAAATGCTGTCTTTGATGACTACGGGAGAGCCATGTCCAAAATATAACATTTGTTAAAATAATTTAGTCATTAATGGCGCATCATAATTCAGGAAATATCCTATATTAATCATTATTCTTCCTAAGAGAAGATCTGAAGGAACAACAATATCAAGAATCGAACTTTATAATCAGAATCCGTTTAGAAATATTTGGAACATTATTTGACTGCCTAATTAAAATGCCACTATTTCAGAACTAAGCCAGATATTTTGTGTTGATTACAAGCAACTGATATGCAATTGTTTTTAATGTGTATGTGTAGGCCAATTATGTTGCTTTCCGTGTACAGCGATATGATGTTTGCTGTACTTCTATAGTTGATTGAAAGCGCAGTCTCTAATAGCTTAGCTGGCTCTGGGCAATAGTTAAGCTATTTAGTGCGACTAGTGGCTAAGCTGGCAACTTCGTTCAATAGCCTTCCTGACTAGTTCAGACAGTAGCTTTGCTGCCTAGTTTTGTCAGCATTAAGAATACTTTGCTTCGACTGTAGAAACTAAGGCACCATTACTTCCTCTGATGAGCTTGGAAGACATGAGGTTGCTAGCAGCAGCCTACCCTGGGGCATTCGCCGCTGTATCCTCCTTGACGGCGATCAACTACCATCATGGCTATTCACTGCCTTTGCCGTTTGTGTACCCGAGCCCTGCAAATCAACTGTCTGCGCTAGACTGTTCAGTTAGACACCACCGTCACATCCTTCAGGAAGAGTCTCCAATGCGACCAGCCGTGTCCCCTTCTGTGATAAGATCTTCAGCAACTCCGGGAACGGGCAAGATAAAGGCTTTTCAAGGAGTCAGAAAGACTCTCAAAAGGTCGCCTACAGCATCTGCTATACATGCTTACTCTTTTCTAGATGCTACAAAGGACGACAAGTTTTCCGAGGCTGCCAACTCTTCAGGTAGGTCACATTCGTTTGTTTGTTTTATATAATTGTGGCAGTCCAGAGATGAAGCCTGTAGCAGAGCGCACATATTACTACAATAATTTATTGTCGTTCTTAAACCTGCCACATACACTAGTTGAAACTGATCTCTCGAAAGGTCGTAGGTTCGTTTTACAGACAGATCTTTCCGTCCATGAATGTAGATTTTAAAGTGGAAATCACTGGAAATCTAGAGTTCGTGCTTTTTGCGTTACTCTCGGCAGCACACACACACACACACACACACACACACACACACACACACACAGACACACACACACACACACACACACACACACACACACACACACACATCCCATATCGAGCTGACGCCCATGTTTTAACTTTCTATAATAACTGTTTGTTGGCAACAACTTTGCTGAGAATAATTACGAGAAGAATAAAGGACAAGATTCAACCAGAAAATACGGAAAACCGTGGGGATATGTAGAAGGAAAAGGTACAAACATGGCAATGTACATCCTCAGGACTCTGTCAGAAAGAGCTTTAGGAGTGAAACACGATCTTTACTTATGTTTCACGAAAGAATTTGATTGTGTGAATCACAAGGAAATAATCCATCAAACTACTGGAACAGTTAAACGTAGGTTTAATAACTATTTGGGAACCTTTCAGAACATAAAGAATGGTGTATGACAAGTATGTATACTATCACCTGATTTGCTTTCATTATACAGTGAATAAATAATGAGATCTATCACGGATATGCCAGGAATTGTGGTTGGTGGTAATAACATAACCTACGTTATGCTGATGACTCCGTCTTGATAGCGACACGTCAGAAAGAACTACAGGGATGGATAGATACCGTGATGATAATAAGTGATCAAATGGACCTCGGTTTAAAAGTTGGGAAGACACACGTACTAGTGATATCCAAGAAAAGAACAGTGCCAAATGTATTTTTAAAAAGTCAAAGGCATTATTTTAGGACAAGTACAGAAATAATAATATCTCGGCACATAGAGAACATCAGACGGAAGAAGTATCGCAGAGGTAAAAAGCAGAGAAAGTCAGATTAAAACTGTATTTGATCAAACAAAGAGGTCAAGAAAAGAGTTCTGGCATGCTATATACAGCAAGTTGTGACATATGGATGTGAATCCTGGACAATTAATAAACACGCCAAACGATTTCTGGAGGCCTCGGAGATGTGGTTTAACAGAAGAATCTTTAGTATTCCTTGGACAGAAACAACAACAGTAAACAAACAAACAAGCAAGCAGGAAGTTTTGAAAGAGGCAAAGGCTCAAAGACAACTCAAACATCAAAAAGAGACAGTCATCATTTTGTGGGGGGGGGGGGGGTGGGAGGGTTTATGTTATGAGAACATTGAAGCTGGAACATGTTGTGGCTACTGGAAAGATCTGTGGGGGAAAAAAAAAAACAGCGGAAGACAACGCGAGAAGATGATTGACAGTCATTTGTCGTGGCATGGAGGGGTGTCAGCACACCAACAGTTGTAGACTGCAGATTGTGGAAAAGCATTAAGAAGCACGATCGTCCACGAAAGTCGGCAACTTACTTGATAATGATAATCAATGTATCTATAAAATTTGTAGCCAGTGTTGTCTTTTTGGTATCAAGATTTTGTCTTTAGGAAAATGTAGACTGTTTACTTTATGACTACTAGCCCCGACGCCTGTCATCTATTTTACAATCTCATATTAAGTAATCAAAAGACCGCAAACACCTTCGTAAACAGTTATGTATGCTATAAAATTTTCCTAAGAAGTTAAGTGCGCAACCTACACCGGACGTTGCAGAATCAACACTAGAAACCCCCCCCCCCCCCACCCCCCTTTTTTTCAGTTTGGTTTTAACGTGGTCATTTTAGGCTCAGTGGTTTGCTATTGGTACTGAACGGTCAGCTTTGGACACCACTCTTAATATAAACGCAAAGTGGTTTACTGCTAAATCGTTCACAGCTGGATTTCAACAGGGTATCTAGGATTTACAAAGCGCTTCCACAATACCTAAGCCACAGACGTCAACCAAAAGTTCCTAAACGGTTGTTGATTCTTATCGCTGGTAATTTGTTTTTTAAAAGGGTAGGCAATTATAGGGAAGAGAAGAACAGGGGGTAAGAAAAAAACAAATTGTTTTTGTCAGCTTTAAAAAATCATTTACAATGAACAAACAAAGGACGTTGCGGCGATTAACTTTTATCAACAAGCAAAAACAACATAGCACACATACTAAAATATACACTAACTATAAAATGACTATATGGACTGGTACATGTTTATTATTATTCATATATCTTTGCCAGAAAACGTTCAATTGTTTTACTAGTTTGATTATGTCCTCATGATTCACAGTCAAAACGCCGTACTGTTGTCTATGAGTCATACATGACACCAACTGTTTCTAATAGAGAATGTCTAGAGAAAGTATGTAGCGTTGTTCCCTTTCCCCATATAAAAAAGCACATATTTTCTATAGGTTAGTTGCGTATCCTTTTCAAGACGTTGCAGAACCAACCCCAGCAGCCCCTGCCTGTTGTGTGGATTATCTAGGCAAATTTACGTCCAGTAGTTTGCCATTGCTTACTGGACGGTCGGCTCCCTGATACCACTGTCGAAACCAACGCAAGGCGCATAGCCAGCAGCTGGGATCGAACCGGGCACCCCGGCATTACGAAGCTTTCGCATCGACTTAGCCACAGAGCCGACATTTTCTATAGACTTTTTACAATTATACTGTTTTCTGTAGCTGGAATTATTGTACTTAATATTTAGCTGCTGTTTAAATTGGTTACTATTACTTGATATATAAATTTCTTATTTGATATCATCTCTCTCTCTCTCTCTCTCTCTCTCTCTCTCTCTCTCTCTCTCTCTCTCTCTCTCTCTCTCTCTCTCTCTCTCTCTTGTTTTAATATTTAGTTTCGATAATAGTTATGTCATGATGACCTATACGACTATTTGTATGGCAGAACTAGAAATATTGATCTTAATAGATAATTACAAATCGACCGACTATTATAGATGTCGTTTACAGTTTTTTGTTTTTGTGTGTGCTGTTTTTGTTATTTAGATTCATAAATCTTCCAGTACCCCAGCTGCCTGTAAACTGACGTCTGGCCAAGGCGCCTTTCCTTTATGTTTTTTGTTTGTTTGTTTGTTTGTTTGTTTGTTTGTTTGTTTGTTTGTTTGTTTGTTTGTTTGTTTTTTTTTTGTTTGTTAGCGCGTTCTTAAGTTCTGCAGACATGTTGGCCAATCTTTACATTTGTAAATCTGCATTTTATCTATTGCCATCAGATAGTTCATCTATACATTCATTCAATTTACTAAACATATTATTTGTTCTCGTTGATAAGAAGTGGCTGGCTGAATTGTTTAGTATGCTGGACTCTCATGCATGAGACCCAGGTTTGAATCCGGGGTATGCTTATGTTTTGTTTTCTTTTTTTACTGGCATGACCTATACTTCCAGCTCTGCATTATCACAGTCAGCACCTTATTAATTAGTTCAGCAGCATTATTGTGCCTGAATGATGTAGTCGCTACATAATTGGGCGAAATTTAGGACGAACTCCCTGCAAATGTGTTGCGGACCGACAGTGATCCACGGACCACCTGTTGAAGAACAATACACTAAAACACAGGTTGTGTGAAACATGTCAGTGAAACACATTTTATAATAATGAATGAATTTGCTTACTCGCGACACAACAATACATACCAATTCAAACAATTTGACCAGTTAGTTTACACTAGCATGTTAACAATCTGCATTCACGGTTAAAACAGATGATGGTAAAGAGACCAGTTGTAGCAAGAGACGCCGAACTCGCACCAACTTTACTGGGTGGCAATTAGAGGAGTTGGAAAAGGCCTTCTACGATTCTCACTATCCGGATGTGTTCATGAGGGAGGCCCTGGCACTGAAGCTGGACTTGATGGAGAGCCGAGTACAGGTGAGTCCTACATGTTCATCATCATCATGTATCACAGAGCTAACTCAGGGGCCACAATTTTGAAAACGGATATTGTCACGGGCCGAACCACGAACCCCAGCATAGAAAGATCATTAATACAACTGGCAATGATCCGCGGGCCCATTGCAAAGCCTTCGTGGGTCATCAAGCTGAATGGCTCTGATGTATTGGGTACTTTACAAAACGTCGCTACCATCGCAGCTCGCCAGACAGAAACTGGGTTCCTTGTCAGCTCTTCTGCCTCATGAATATACCTGCTTAAGGCTTCTCTTATGTTCACACCTTTGAGCTGGTCTACCCCTGCCTGTCTTACTCGATACCGTGCCCTCGACTTGTATTCATTCCAAGCAATTGATATGGCCAAATTAATTCTCTTTCCGATACAAAATACTATCATCATAATCATCAGGTGCCTTGCAGACTGGCGTGGGCGATCACGCCTCTCCATAATCTGCGATCTCCTGCAGCATGTATCAGTTCGTGTGCCGACACATCTCCATGCCATGCAACTTGACTGTCAAGAATCTTCTCTCGCTCTCTTCCTCTATCCCTCCTTCCACAGATCTTCCCAGTGGTCACAACATGTTCTATTTTCTCTCTTCTCATAACATGGCCGAAAAATGATGACTGTCTCTTTCTGATGTCTGTGATAAATTGTCTCTGGGCTTCCGCCTCTTTCAAAACCTCTTGGTTGCTCTTTTTGGCTGTCCAAGGTATTCTAAGCATTCTTCTGTAAAACCATATCTCTGAGGCCTAAAAAAATACTATATGCAAGTTAATTCAGATCTTGTAGAATGTCATAAAGTCTTCTCATCTTGACAAATGGTATTCAAAGAATCTGTAAGTAGCATTTCAGCTCAAAAGTCCAAATATTAGTCTTTAGTTATTGTGAGTCGTTGACTCACATCCATATGTTGCTACAGGAAAGATGCAAGTTCTTAAAAACTTGGATTTCCTTGTTGTTTCTTAGTCAAGGCTTTTAATGCTGTTTAATCTGTGTACTGCTTTTTTTTTTTTTTTAACATCTACACTGCTGTTGATTATGGACTCTGAAATTCATAGTTGATGACATTTTCATTTGTTTTATCCTTGATTTGTGTTGTTTTTTTTTTTTTTTATTTGACTTGCAACTTTGTCCATTTCGGTTTGTTGTTAATTCAGGAGAAAGCGATTGGTCTTCATTTCTGTTTTGGACAGGAAGTATAAAACGTTCGACATTCTCCGCACTATTCTTCTTCTTTTTCGCGTTCACCAGGGTTCTGGTTGCTCGTCCACTACTGAACTGCAGCCCTGCACCAGAACCTGAGTGTTGCGTGTGCATCAGTTTACAGATCTCCTTCTCTTGAATACAGACTGTTGGCTCCTTGCCTCTCCGGTAGATGCACTTCGACTTCAAAGGGAGCTCCCCAATTAGTCGACTCTTACGACATGCTTTTGGGGAGGCAGTGGGTCTATTCTTGTTTTCCCCACAATAGGGCCCCGGAACTCACACGGGGGTCCGCACTATTAAAAAGGACGACTATGTCATCTGCACACACACACACACACACACACACACACACACACACACACACATCGTTATCATCATTCTTTTGTGCCATTAATAGGACTCGGGCTCTATTTCGCCATTCCCTTCTCTGCAATATTTTATATATCATGGATGAAATCTTTTTTAGTACCGTTGACCTCTCTTATCAAGGTTTTATGATTTCCATTGGACGTCCTCGTTTCGTGAATTCATGAATTTCCCCTTTCAGTGTCTGACTGGTGATTCTCTGTTAGGATGTGCCCAATATAGCGCCATCTTTTTCTTAACCTCTCTTAAAACATATAAAATAAATATGTGTTGTTCTAACATCACATCATATGTTGCAGTACATTAACTCATCATCATCATCATCATTATCATCGTCAAAAGCTTTGTCTACTAGCATGGGCTATCATGCCTCTCCACATCCCGTTATTCCCAACATTATGAATCTGCATAAACAGTTACAAGGACATTATTTATTTGCCTTCTGTCTCGTTGAAATTTTCGGTAAAAGTAACGCTGGTCTCCCCACGCCTTGCCCATTTACACACTAGCTCACACTGTCACCTTGGAACAAGGTTACGGGGGTGTTCCGCAATGCCGTTGATATCGCGTGTTATATATTTCAGCACGCCAGCGCTTTTAACACTCCAAAAAAAAAATGGAGAAACTGGTTCTAACACAAACCTCCTAGAGAGTGCTGCAAACTGTGTCACAGGCATTCTCTTTCTCGGAATGAAAACGTAAATGCAAGACATCAGAGAAAGCAAACAACATAGCAGGACAAACCCGTAATCTTGAGGAAAGTCGACTAGCCCAACAAACTTGTGAATGAAAAGTGACATACTCTGTTTAGGAAGATTAACGTGAACCTAACCACATTTTCTTGCTATTGCATATGAATGAAGTATACGGTTTGTTCTCTTTATCGTCACCTTTCCTTCCCAGTCAATTTCTAAAACGTGTTTGTGAAGCATGATCACACTGTTCAAGTAAACGAACTCAAGCATTTATATAGATTGTAATCGGACCACTGTATTAGTAAGCAAGCACACAGACCACTAAATTACTGCTGTAAAAATTATATTAGACAACATATAACATTAACATATTATTTTATGACAATATGTATTATTATGTCAGCGTCTGTGGCATAGGTGTTGTGAAGGCTTTTTGTAATGCCGGTGTACCGGGTTCGATCCCAGCTGCAGGCTGTTTGTCTTGCGTTGGTTTTGGCAATGTTACCGAGAGCAGACCGTTTAGAAGCAATGGCAAACTACTAGTCGTAAAATTTGCCTAGAAAAACCACAACAGCCCAGAAACGCTGGGTTTGGTTCTGCAACGTCATCTAAAGGATACGCAACTAGCTAACGTATTATAACACAATGGGGGAAAAAACTGAGTACCTACAGTATTAATTTTCTAGGAGTTGGCTAATGTTCAGTCTTGAAGGTAAATCTCTGGTGGCGCCGGCGTGGTGCTGACCACAACACACCCATCCAGGTCTATATAAGAATATAGGTTTACGTTCATATGCCTGACGCTCCACTGGTGTAACAGCGGTCCTTTACCTGTTCTGGAGCAAGACTAAAGTCCAAAAGGGGACGAACAACAAGTACTTTCCCCCGGGTTTATACCGGTGAACCCTAAGAAGAATGGCGTGCATAATGCAAAATCGTGTCTGAGGTAACATGTTGTAGTTATACACAATTAAAAAACAGATTGCAATCAAATAACCATTTACATCTCTTGTATAAAATAAACTGTCCGCTTATCCTCACAGTCGCCCTCACAGTAATGTCGCTACTCTCCTAGACCCGACAGTCGCCCTCACAGTAATGTCGCTACTCTCCTAGACCCGACAGGCACCCTCACAATAATGTCGCTACTCTTCTAGACCCGACAGTCGCCCTCACAAAAATGTCGCTACTCTCCTAGACGTGACAGTCACCCTCACAATAATGTCGCTACTCTCCTAGACGTGACAGTCACCCTCACAATAATGTCGCTACTCTCCTAGACGTGACAGTTACCCTCACAAAAATGTCGCTACTCTCCTAGACGTGACAGTCACCCTCACAAAAATGTCGCTACTCTCCTAGACGTGACGGTCACCCTCACAATAATGTCGCTACTCTCCTAGAAGCGACAGTCGCCCTCACAAAAATGTCGCTACTCTCATTGACCCGACAGTCGCTCTCACAAAAATGTCGCTACTCTCCTATACCCGACAGTCGCTCTCACAAAAATGTCGCTACTCTCCTAGACCCGACAGTCGCCCTCACAAAAATGTCGTTACTCTCCTAGACCCGACAGTCGTCCTCACAATAATGTCGCTACTCTCCTAGACCCAACAGTCGCCCTCACAAAAATGTCGTTACTCTCCTAGACCCGACAGTCGCTCTCACAATAATGTCGCTACTCTCCTAGACCCGACAGTCGCTCTCACAATAATGTCGCTACTCTCCTATACCCGACAGTCGCTCTCACAATAATGTCGCTACTCTCCTATACCCGTCAGTCGCTCTCACAATAATGTCGCTACTCTCCTAGACCCGACAGTCGCTCTCTCTATAATGTCGCTACTCTCCTAGACCCGACAGTCACCTTCACAATAATGTCGCTACTCTCCTAGACCCGACAGTCGTCTAGGGTATGTATGCGTTTTTTGGTTTTGTTTTTCCTCAAAGACACACATATATATTTGGTTTACTAGAAAATGATGGGTTGTACTCTGAGAAGTCAAGGCTGCCAGTATGCTATTGGCCACACCAGTCACTCACTACTTAGTGGTTTATACAAACACGGAACAAGTACCATACATGTCTCTGGACAAGGAAATGGATCCTTTGTTTCGTTTTACTTGAGATCCAAAAGTTTATTATTTTATTTTCCCAAGTTTTTTCAAACGTCCTTGCACCCCACCCAGCCCTACCCCGAACGAAATTACAGTATCCAAACTACGAGTATATATCCAAACTTATCGAGGTGATGACGTCATGCAGCGTCTGCAGGACCGACTGAAAACAGCAGTTGGCCAAACATTCTTTGCGGCTGTTCCAGTAGTGAGGTACAAGACCACTCCTATCCCAACCCCACCTATTAAACAGCTCGTTTCTCCGTACACCAAATCTATTTGTATTTACCAATTTACATGTAAGTGCCAGTTGACTTACATCGGTCGAACGGAGAGACAGCTTGAAAATAGAGTAGCAGAGCACATGCCCAAATGGCTACATACACAGCTCAGTGATCCTTCTAGGGTGTCGAGACCAGTCAAGAGGAAAGAACCCGCTTCTTCCATAGGACGTCATCTACTTAATTCCGGACACATAATTGACACAGACAATGCTTTCCGTGTGGTTTACCACACTCCGAACAGGAGACTTTTGAGATTCGCCGAAGTTTTAACAATCCCTCCTTTGTAAGCAGACAGAATTTATCGTAACTTTCATGTTAACCTAGTAAGTCACGTGACTAAGGTGAGCTTCTAGCTGCTATGAAACACAAACAATGTATCGGAAGAAACTATTCGCATTTCAGTTGAATTTATTCAGTATTGTGCTTTATTTTATGTTGATGTAACTCTGTAGTAACGCACCTGATGAGATACAGCGAAATATTCCTGGCAATAAATTGTGCAATGTATTGTTTGTATCCGCATTATTTAAATTCCCAAGTTTCATTTGGCTCCGTTTCGCTGTAAGCCTCAATAGTTTCCAGGTTTTTAACCTACCCTGAAGTCGTCTGATTTCCGCCATTTTCTTTTCTTGATTCTGACTGTCGACGAATCCTCATGTGTATTCCAGGGTCCCATTTGGGTGGGTGGGGGGGGGATATACCCAGTACACCCCCTCCCCCAACAGCAAACGTGTCGTAAAAGGCGACTAATTAGGAGTGCTTCCTACGAAGGTGGAGTACATCAGCCTGAGAGACGAAGAACCAACAATCTGCATGAAAATAAGCCTGATCTATAAAACAGATATGCATGCAAAACATAAATTCTGGAACAAGACTGAAGTTCAGAAGTGGGCGAATAACCAGAAATGTTCGCCAGAGTTTACAGCAAATAAAAGCCAAGAAGAAGAAGAAGAAAAGAAGAAGAAGAAGAGCTGACGAACACATGTAACTTTATATCTATCTGGTCCCAAAAGATTCCTAGCAGTTGACATTTCCCTGTAATTTGTTTCAATCTAGTTCGTGGTGCTCGGCAGTCATATTTTAGATTTGAACAAAGAATACACATTAAGGTGCAGGGCAGGGCTTTGTAGCGTTATGTGCATACTACAGCAATATAGTTCAATCATATGAGCAAATAAATGATGCCAGGCAATAAACTGAGCAGTATATTGTTTGTATGGTGTTGTTGTTGTTGTTGTTTTTTAAATATAAATTTGTAATGGGAAGGGCGTCAATGTGTCTTAAAACAGTTTCCCAATGCAATGCTCCATGTTCAACAGGGATCGATTTCCGCTATGGGCGGTTCAGAAAAAGACCATTCTCTGGTGTTAAAATGTTAAAACAGTGGTATGAGAAATGCACCGTGGAAGAGATTACAGCCTCACTAAATAAAATTCCCATAGATAGCAGTGAATACATTACAGCCAATCTCTATTGCGAGGACGGCACATTTTTTTTTTTTACTTTCCGTGTTCGGCGATAGCTAAGCATTTCTCTCTCTCTGTCTAAAATATCCTTTATGAAATAATGCCCTTTTATCATTTCCATGCCAACTTGACTTTGAGCGTTAAGTCATCAGGAGACATCTGGTGTATTTAAAGATACAGCAGTCCATGGTGTCGTTTCTGACAATTTGTTGTATCGGGCATATTGAAAGTCAGGTGGGAAGGTCCCATTTGGCGTCAAGGGACGTCCTGGAGAAGTCAGGTGTGAAGGTCCCCTATAGCGTCAAGGGACGTCCTGGGGAAGTCAGGTGTGAAGGTCCCATTTAGCGTCAAGGGACGTCCCGGGGAAGTCAGGTGTGAAGGTCCCATTAAGCGTCAAGGGACGTCCTGGGGAAGTCAGGTGTGAAAGTCCCCTTTAGCGTCAAGGGACGTCCTGGAGAAGTCTGATGTGAAGGTCCCTTAAGCGTCAAGGGACGTCCTGGGGAAGACAGGTGTGAAGGTCCTCTTTAGCGTCAAGGGACGTCCTGGGGAAGGCAGGTATGAATGTCCTCTTTAGTGTCAAGGGACGTCTGGGGAAGTCAGGTGTGAAGGTTTCGTATAGTGTCAACAGACGTCCTGGGGAAGTCAGGTGTAAAAGTTCCCTTTACGTTCTGGGTATGTTGTGCTAGATTCGTTTTGTTAGAGACCAATGGGAACTCAATGAGCGATGTAGTCAGTATCACCCTGATAGCCTTGACCTCACTGAAGAGTTTCCGGTGCACAGTTTCGTTTGAGGTGACCTTAGACAGAATCAAACTTAGCTAAGTATCTAAACAAAGTTTCTTACATGGCCACACAAACTTTGTTACAGATCCAAACACATTTTCTTATATATCAACAACCCCCCTCCCCTCCCCCCCCCCCCCTCCAAAAAAAAACACGTATTTACATAAGCAAACAGTCAAGCCTGTTACGCATCCAAACATATTTTTTACATGGCCAAAACAAAAAACAAAAAGCTCTGTTACGTATCCAAACAAATGGTTGGATAGAACGTTAGATTTATATGGCCAAAAACATTTAGTTACGTATCCAATCATATGTTCTTACATGGCCAAAGAAACTTATTTACGTATTCAAATTTTCTTACAGGCCAAACACACTTAGTTACTTACATGACCAGTCAAACTAAGTTATGCTTCCCAAAATAACTACTTTGGAGCTGTCACGATTATAATTAAAGTAGTTTCTTATCTTGTAAATAAACAGTTTTAATGAACTTTTTTTTCTTTTCATTACTAGGTTTGGTTTCAAAATCGCCGAGCTAAATGGAGAAAGAAAGAGAATACCAGGAAAGGTCCAGGACGTCCGGCTCATAACGCACATCCACAGACCTGCAGCGGAGATCCAATGGGTGAGGAAGAAATCCGCAGACGAGAGCAGGAACGACTAGAGAAGAAGAGAAAGAAACAGGATGAAAGACTGCGGAAGTTGAGCATAAGAAGAAAAATACTTAATGATAGTGAGGTCATTTCCGCCACCGATGAAGATGGAGGCAGGGCACAATTCCGATTTCATGATCACCATTTCTTGTCACCAGTGTCGTCGATTTCCGGAAATGATGTTAGTACTGATAGTTTGTCAGGCAGTCTGTCAGATTTTCCTGAAAACGTTGATCAAAATATGCTGCACAGTAACCATTCGGTTAGCACTGTTCCCACTTGTAACACGACAGATAGTATCAGAGACACCTCATCAAACGCTAAGCTTTCAGGTCTCTGCTCATTCACCATTGAGAAACTTCTGGAAGCCCCGAAAGTACCTCGAGGGCGGCGTCCAAACTCCAAATACCCACTTGTACAAGCTTGTAAGTCTATGGGAGCTCTAGGGCTGAGTCTGCTGCCGTGTTTCCCTGTCACACAGCCAATGGGATTTCTGGTGCAGCAGTTAGTTCACGACGACAGCTCGCCTTCCTTACCAGAATGTGACAGCTCAGAAAAATCGTTGCCAAACGTTGACCGCAACTCCAATAATATCGATTTCCCTGCACTTAAATTGTCGCTTTTGGATACTTCAGAAAATAACGGACATAACAGTTCTGAACATTCGCCGTTTCCAGTTAAACTAAACCACAAATATGCGACTATTTCTTTCACTGGAACCACGCACAGCAATATTACTTATGGTGATTCTAGTCAACGCAGCAGCAAAACATTTCATGAAAGAAACGAATCATACAACACCAGTGAACATGTTTTAAATCTGAGTATTTTCAATAACAAAAACTGCATGGAAAATATCAAATACAGTGACACGTGACATGTAAGATTGATAGTAAAGAACATTTATGTCACTGCGATCACCGATAAGTGTGTATGTTAAATTATCAATGGCCTGCGTTAGGGCGAGTAGGAAAGTGCAGCTTGAGAACTTTGTTCCATAACATAAGTCAAACTAGAAACTGGAAGTTCTTGTTTAATGTTATATGATAAAGACTAAAATATTTCATCATGGGGGACTTAAAGTGTTTCTGATTCTCCTTGTCATTATATCTATCTATCTATCTACCTATCTATCTATCTATCTATCTATCTATCTATCTATCTATCTATCTATCTATCTATCTATCTATCTATCTATCTATCTATCTATCTATCTATCTATCTATCTATCTATCTATCTATCTATCTATCTATCTATCTATCTATCTATCTATCTATCTATCTATCTATCTATCTATCTATCTATCTATCTATCTATCTATCTATCTATCTATCTATCTATCTATCTATCTATCTATCTATCTATCTATCTATCTATCTATCTATCTATCTATCTATCTATCTATCTATCTATCTATCTATCTATCTATCTATCTATCTATCTATCTATCTATCTATCTATCTATCTATCTATCTATCTATCTATCTATCTATCTATCTATCTATCTATCTATCTATCTATCTATCTATCTATCTATCTATCTATCTATCTATCTATCTATCTATCTATCTATCTATCTATCTATCTATCTACCTACCTACCTACCTACCTACCTACCTACCTACCTACCTACCTACCTACCTACCTACCTACCTACCTACCTACCTACCTACCTACCTACCTACCTACCTACCTACCTACCTACCTACCTACCTACCTACCTACCTACCTACCTACCTACCTACCTACCTACCTACCTACCTACCTACCTACCTACCTACCTACCTACCTACCTACCTACCTACCTACCTACCTATCTATCTATCTATCTATCTATCTATCTATCTATCTATCTATCTATCTATCTATCTATCTATCTATCTATCTATCTATCTATCTATCTATCTATCTATCTATCTATCTATCTATCTATCTATCTATCTATCTAATCTGTTAGTCTGTCTGTCTGTCTGTCTGTTCTTTCTTTCACCTATCCATCCATCCATCCACCCATTTATCCATATATACATCTAAATAGTCTGTCTGCTCACCTTCCTGTCATTACAATGAGTCAAATTCGTATGATATGAATGAATAAAATTAACGATGTCATTACGTGCAGTAAGTTGCTTTCGTTTTTCTTCCCTGAGTTCCCAGCCAGTGTTTTTATCTGTTTAAATGTAATATTCAGCCTACGTGTCTTATTTACATTATTATAACCAGGCTTGCACCAGCACAAGTTGTATCAGCACAAGTTGTATCAGCACGACAAGTTGCATCAGCACAAGTTGTATCAGCACAAGTTGTATCAGCACAAGTTGTATCAGCACGACAAGTTGTATCAGCACAAGTTGTATCAGCACGACAAGTTGCATCAGCACAAGTTGTATCAGCACAAGTTGTATCAGCACGACAAGTTGCATCAGCACAAGTTGTATCAGCACAAGTTGTATCAGCACAAGTTGTATCAGCACGACAAGTTGTGTCAGCACAAGTTGTATCAGCACAAGTTGTATCAGCACGACAAGTTGCATCAGCACAAGTTGTATCAGCACAAGTTGTATCAGCACAAGTTGTATCAGCACAACAAGTTGTGTCAGCACAAGTTGTATCAGCACGACAAGTTGTATCAGCACAAGTTGTATCAGCACGACAAGTTGTATCAGCACAAGTTGTATCAGCACGACAAGTTGTGTCAGCACAAGTTGTATCAGCACGACAAGTTGTATCAGCACAAGTTGTATCAGCACGACAAGTTGTGTCAGCACAGGTTGTATCAGCACGACAAGTTGTATCAGCACGACAAGTTGTGTCAGCACAAGTTGTATCAGCACGACAAGTTGTGTCAGCACAAGTTGTATCAGCACGACAAGTTGCATCAGCACAAGTTGTATCAGCATGACAAGTTGTATCAGCACGACAAGTTGTGTCAGCACAAGTTGTATCAGCACGACAAGTTGTATCAGCACAAGTTGTATCAGCACGACAAGTTGTGTCAGCACAAGTTGTATCAGCACGACAAGTTGTGTCAGCACAAGTTGTATCAGCACGACAAGTTGTGTCAGCACAAGTTGTATCAGCACGACAAGTTGTATCAGCACAAGTTGTATCAGCACGACAAGTTGTATCAGCACAAGTTGTATCAGCACGACAAGTTGTGTCAGCACAAGTTGTATCAGCACGACAAGTTGTGTCAGCACAAGTTGTATCAGCACGACAAGTTGTATCAGCACAAGTTGTATCAGCACGACAAGTTGTGTCAGCACAAGTTGTATCAGCACGACAAGTTGTATCAGCACGACAAGTTGTGTCAGCACAAGTTGTATCAGCACGACAAGTTGTGTCAGCACAAGTTGTATCAGCACGACAAGTTGCATCAGCACAAGTTGTATCAGCATGACAAGTTGTATCAGCACGACAAGTTGTGTCAGCACAAGTTGTATCAGCACGACAAGTTGTATCAGCACAAGTTGTATCAGCACGACAAGTTGTGTCAGCACAAGTTGTATCAGCACGACAAGTTGTGTCAGCACAAGTTGTATCAGCACGACAAGTTGTATCAGCACAAGTTGTATCAGCACGACAAGTTGTATCAGCACAAGTTGTATCGGCACGACAAGTTGTATCAGCACAAGTTGTATCAGCACAAGTTGTATCAGCACGACAATTTGTATGAGCAAGACAAGTTGTATTAGCACGACAAGTTGTATCAGCATGACAAGTTGTATCAGCACGACAAGTTGTATCAGCACAAGTTGTATCAGCATGACAAGTTGTATCAGCACAAGTTGTATCAGCACAGGTTGTATCAGCACGACAAGTTGTATCAGCACAAGTTGTATCAGCCCAACAAGTTGTATCAGCAAAAGTGCTATCAGCACGACAAGTTGTATCAGCACAAGTTGTATCAGCACAAGTTGTATCAGCGCGACAAGTTGTATCAGCGCGACAAGTTCTATCAGCACGACTAGTTGTATCAGCACGACAAGTTGTATCAGCACGACAAGTTGTATCAGCATGACAAGTTGTATCAGCATGACAAGTTGTATCAGCACAAGTTGTATCAGCACGACAAGTTGTATCAGCACAAGTGGTATCAGCATGACAAGTTGTATCAGCACAAGTTGTATCAGCACAAGTTGTATCAGCACGACAAGTTGTATCAGCACAAGTTGTATCAGCATGACAGGTTGTATCAGCACAAGTTGTATCAGCACAAGTTGTATCAGCACAAGTTGTATCAGCACAAGTTGTATCAGCACAAGTTGTATCAGCACAAGTGGTATCAGCATGACAAGTTGTATCAGCACAAGTTGTATCAGCACAAGTTGTATCAGCACGACAAGTTGTATCAGCACAAGTTGTATCAGCATGACAATTTGTATCAGCAAGACAAGTTGTATCAGCACGACAAGTTGTATCAGCATGACAAGTTGTATCAGCACAAGTTGTATCAGCACAAGTTGTATCAGCACGACAATTTGTATCAGCACAAGTTGTATCAGCATGACAGGTTGTATCAGCACGACAAGTTGTATCAGCACGACAAGTTGTATCAGCACAAGTTGTATCAGCACAAGCTGTATCAGCACAAGTTGTATCAGCACAAGTTGTATCAGCACAAGCTGTATCAGCACAAGTTGTATTAGCACAAGTTGTATCAGCACAAGTTGTATCAGCATAAGTTGTATCAGCACAAGTTGTATCAGCATAAGTTGTATCAGCACAAGTTGTATCAGCATAAGTTGTATCAGCACAAGTTGTATCAGCATAAGTTCTATCAGCACAAGTTGTATCAGCATAAGTTGTATCAGCACAAGTTGTATCAGCACAAGTTGTGTCAGCACAAGTTGTATCAGCATAAGTTGTATCAGCACAAGTTGTATCAGCTCGACAAGTTGTATCAGCACGACAAGTTGTATCAGCACGACAAGTTGTATCAGCACAAATTGTATCAGCACAAGCTGTATCGGCACCGCAAGTTGTATCAGCACAAGTTGTATCAGCACGACAAGTTGTATCAGCACAAGTTGTATCAGCACAAGTTGTATCAGCACAAGTTGTGTCAGCACAAGTTGTATCAGCACGACAAGTTGTATCAGCACAAGTTGTGTCAGCACAAGTTGTATCAGCACGACAAGTTGTATCAGCACAAGTTGTATCAGCACAAGTTGTATCAGCACAAGTTGTATCAGCACAAGTTGTGTCAGCACAAGTTGTATCAGCACAAGTGGTATCAGCACGACAGGTTGTATCAGCACAAGTTGTATCAGCACAAGTTGTATCAGCACAACAAGTTGTATCAGCGCAAGTTGTATCAGCATGACAAGTTGTATCAGCACAAGTTGTATCAGCACAAGTTGTATCAGCACAAGTTGTATCAGCACAAGTTGTATCAGCACAAGTGGTATCAGCACGACAGGTTGCATCAGCACAAGTTGTATCAGCACAAGTTGTATCAGCACAAGTTGTATCAGCACAACAAGTTGTATCAGCATGATAAGTTGTATCAGCACGACAAGTTGTATCAGCACGACAAGTTGTATCAGCACGACAAGTTGTATCAGCACAAGTTGTATCAGCACAAGTTGTATCAGCACAAGTTGTATCAGCACGACAAATTGTATCAACACGACAAGTTGTATCAACACGACAAGTTATATCAGCACAAGTCGCACTGTAAATGTGAGTTCTACTATCTACTGAATATATTTTATTAGAATCAGCATCACAGCGAACTGGCGTAGGCGATCATGCTTCTCCAATCTTACTATCTTCAGCATCATATATCAAATCCTTGCCCACCGATCACCTCAGCATGGTTGGTATCCCAATCTGAGCAAATGTTTATAACTGGGCTGGACTTCCATATTGCA